ACTCACCGAACAGCGGCACTATAGCTTTTTCGCCACAATAACGTGGGTTTCCGCGTACGAGCAGCACGGGATTTTGATCGAAAAAAAAGAGCTACCAGCTACCACTGTAAAAAAAAGCAAAAAAAAAATATGTGGGTGAGGATTTTATCTTTTTATTTTTGTTTTTTCCTTCAGATATGTCCGTCGGACGCCATCCAGCCTCCTACGAAATTGACGCGTCAAGTTTGCACTAGGGTTGATGGCCGGCGAAGTGCAAGAAGCTCTCAGCTATATTCCTCAAGACGGCGATATTGTCCTCGTGTCTCACCTGAATGCGGAAACAACTGGCTAGCCCAGACCGTGCATCTGATCCTTTAGAACTAAAAGAACAAGGCGTGTGTGAAGCCCAAGACGGCGAACAAAAATAAGGGCGAGAACCGGAACGCCTCAAACACACGGCAAAGTAAAGCTGAGCAAAAAAGTGTTCACCGCAAAACCACAGACTAAAGCTAACTCGTTTTGTTTTATCATGTCTACTTACCAACTAGCCCAAACTTACACCTTAAAGCTAACCGGCCCTTGAACGTATGCCCATAAAAGCTCACCTAAGAATCTGTGATTGCAGCATGTTTGGATGCCATAGGTATGCGGTTATTCCGCAGATCTCAATTAGCCCCGAGACGATGGAGTGGCGCCACCTGGCGGCTCCTCTTTGTGACGTATGGGTAATGAACACGTGACCGCTCCCGCGCTTCTTTGGTATCATGTAGGTTGAGATGTATCGTTCACAATTTATATTTAGTTCGGTATTTTTTAACGAGAGAACCGGGTTTCATTTCTCCTAATACGTTTATTGTATTCCTCGTCAAAAATTAAACTCAAGCAGAACGACAGCCGTGGAGACGAAGCTTACGGAACAGCATCCAGTGACCCAGCCTCATGTTGTAGTACTGACCACGACCAAGTTCGTCATGGCCGTAACTTTGAAGGCTTGTCAAAAGACCAAACATGTAGACACTGGGACGGAATGGTTCTCGGTGCGAGTTTTCTTTTTGTCCAGCCCGTCGAAAACAGATAGAGCAAACAAAAATCAATCTCGAAGACGCCGAGCAGGCGTTGAACTTGGCATTTCGATCGCCGGTATTTTCGCGATATGCTGGGGTGGCTTTGAGGCTGCCGTGGCCCATGAAAGCCAATTGAATGTTAAATTATCAGGCACGAGCGGCATGATCATGGCACTGCCTTCAGCGGTAACTTTCAGGACTCGATATTGACGTGACGTTCCGCAAAGCAGGCGTTGGACCGGTATCGCGTAACACGCGCAACTATCGAGACATGTACGAACTGAATCTGTTTTGACATTTGTACATCGGTCACCTCTGTACAAAAAATACACACGGAAAATAATGTGTACATGATATAAGACTAGACGGGAATCCAGTCAGTGTTTATTTGAGTTGTACGTCGAAGAAATCAGCAAATCGAATGGACGAGTGTGTTCCTGCGTCGAGAGCGTCCACCATCACACAACACTCCGAAAAAGAAAAAGGCACAACAAAGAAATGAGACTCCTTTTATAGCCGGAATTTCTAGTTCAAGCTTCAAGCTCTTCATGTCATCGGAATGCACTGTTTAAAAAAAGGGGGGTCGCGACTGTTGCGTTGAGGGGGAGTCGGGACAGACGCCGGGGCAGCAGGGCTTACTGCTTTATTGCAACACGGTCCATCGTCAAGAACGAACAAGATGAAAGTGATCCCCACAGCAGCGGTGTTCCGCTCTTCTATACTTCGTTTCAGCTTCGGTCCGAGCGCGGCCCCTGTTATGAGCCGAAGGGCGAATCGAACGGCGAGAGAGGCACAGCGTTATTGCGTGCTCTCTGCAGTTGATAGGACCAGCCGGTATTCGCCGTCTCTCTGTGCGCGCTCCCCTGCCGGCTAGTCTTACCCAGCGCAGAGAGCACGCCATGACGCTGCGTTTTTTGCGCTCTTCGATTGGCCCTTCGGCTCACAACATCGGCCGCGCTCGGACCAAAGCTGAAACGAAGTATAGCCAGGGCGCCAAGCGATAACATATGGCGCGCATGCGTGGGGCGATATATCGCACAGAGACATGACAGTGCAAGTCACCGACGCAACATCGTGCAAGTCACCGACGCAACATTCCTTCCCCTTTTAGTTTACAGTCGCTATTACACTAACGCACACTTTGTAAGAAGACATGTAATAACACAACTCATACAATTCAATATTCACACTCAATGACACGCCAGCCTGTATGGTGGTCTTCTGGCACGAGTGCTTCGCCTAGGAAAGACGTGCGGGTGAACGGGACAACCCAGACCAGTTTCTGCGCGGCCTGAGCCGTCAGCCATTTCCAAAAGTGTATCCTCAGCGCTGTCATGCAGAGCAGGCCAATACGGTTGAGCGACCTGTTCTGGCACGGGGATATGTGCAGAGTTCGCGGCTCTCAATTGATCTGCATGCACAAATCTGATGCGCTGCTGTACCCTTACCAAAAATGTAACGTTAGACAAACCCTTGATCACTTTTGCCCTAAACCATTTGACATTCTCACCCCTTACGGATTTAACCATTACTGCATCCCCCACAGAAAAGGTGGGAACAGTACCACATCGTTTATTCTAGCTCTTCGCGATGCTCTCCATTTTGGTTTGCATTGCTCGCGTCATGTTTGGTTTCAAAATAGATAACCTCGTTCGCATTTTTCTTCCGAGAAAAAGTTCACTGGGAGTTTTGCCCGTCAAAGAATGCGGCGTCATTCTGTATGAAAAAAGAAAATTGTCATTCTTGTGCTGCATGCTTCTTATGCAGCCATTCTTTTGGTCTGCCAACAACGATTTTAACAGAGCCTTCTTTACAGTCTGAACTACCCGTTCAGCGGCCCCTTTTGACTGCGGGTGGTACGGTGGCGTTAGCATGTGCTTAACTCCGTGCTTACGAAGGAATTCTTGAAACTCGTGACTAGCAAATTGTGGACAATTGTCTGTCACAACTTCGATCGGTAGACCATATGACGCAAACACCGACCGTACGACCTCTACCGTCTTCTGAGTGGTTGTGCTAGACATGAGTTTGACTTCAACCCACTTGGAATGCGAGTCAACCATAACCAGAAAAGTCTTGCCATCTTTTTCGACGAAGTCCAAGTGGACGCGTTCCCAATTATTGGAACACCACAACCACGGTTGTAACGGTGCTGCCGGTACCGAAGCGCGGACACTGTCACAAATAACACACTCTCTGACAAACTCCTCAAGCTCTTTGTCAATGTTGGGCCACCATACAATCCCCCGAGCAAGCATTTTCATCTTGTTAACTCCTGGATGTTTTTCGTGCAGAAGATCCAGGACGCTTCTCCTCAAGGAACTTGGAATAACTACGCGGTTGTTCCATAGGAGGCAATTTATGTCAAATGATAGTTCGTACCGTCTGATAAATTACGGTTCCAGCTCTTTGTCAACAACTTTGGGCCAACCATGCCAACTCATCTCGCGAACTTGCTTTAGCTGATCGTCTTTCTCAGTTTCTTTTGCGACATCTTCAGCTGTTAGCGGCATGTCAGGAACGGGCGAGAAATAATGAACAGCTTCCTGCGTCCGCGGACAAGGTAACGGTAACCTGGACAGCCCGTCTGCATTTCCAATGCAACCACCTTTCCGATACTGGAAGGTGTACTGGTAACTGGCAAGTAAGTTGGACCAGCGGTGTATACTTGCTGCGGCTATGGAGCTAGAATGCTTTTTTGGATCGAAAATGTGCGTGAGCGATTGGTGGTCTGTTACGATGGTAAACAGACGGCCACACAGATACTTGTGAAATTTCTGTATGCCATACACTATCGCCAACGCCTCTCTTTCGATATGAGCGTAGATCCGCTCAGCGGCCCTTAACGTTCTAGATGCATAAGCCACCGGCCTTTCTTCTCCGTTGATCACATGAGAGATAACTGCGCCCACACCGTAAGAAGACGCATCAGACGTCAATATGAGCGCTTTCGATGCGTCATAGAGCTTAAGAACAGCCTTGCTGCGCAGGAGTTGTTTGCAACACTCAAAACTTTCTTTACACTCCTGCGTACAGTTCCATGCGTTTCCCTTTCTGAGCAGTTTGTGCATCGGTTCTAGCGTTGAGGCAACGCACGGCAAAAAATTTGCGTAAAAGTTCAGTAAGCCTAAGAAAGCCCTCAACTCTTTCTCGTTTTGTGTCTCTGGCGCTTTCAACATCGCTTCCACCTTTTCTTTTGTTGGCTGCAGTCCATTTCTGCTTATCTCGTGTCCAAGATACCGGACACTTTTCTGAAACAATTTACACTTTCTCGGGTTTACACGGATTCCGTGCTTGCGCAGCCGTTCCAACACACGCTCGGTGTTTGCTGCGCATTCCTCGTGTGTTCTACCGGAAATTAGAACATCATCGAGGTAGCAAGCAGTGCTTGGCATTTCTTTAAGGATGTGATCCATCAATGACTGAAACAATGGAGGCGCACTTGCCACGCCGTAGGGAAGTCGTCGGAACCGGTATAACCCGAGGTGGGTATTCACCGTTAGAAGCTCTTGCGAGTGCTGCTGCAGCTCTAGTTGCAAGTAAGCTCTTGAGAAGTCGAGGGCAGTGAAAACTGCTCCTCCCGCTACTTCCGCAAAAATGTCTTCGGGCAACGGAAGCAGGTAGTGATCTACCTTCAAATGTGGATTTACTGTAACACGATAATCCCTACAGAGTCTCACTGTCTTGTCTTCCTTTGGGACGACGACTAAGGGTGTTGCCCAAACGCTGTGTTGGACACGGTAGATTATACCGTTTTCCTTCGAAGGATTTTAGTTTCTTTCTCTACGCTTTCACGGAGCGCATAAGGCACCGGCCTTGCTTTGCAAAAGATAGGCCGGGCGTTATCTTTAAGAAGTAAGCTTCCTTTGAAGCCTTTGATTACGCTGAATCCGCTTTCAAACATGTCACTGTACTTCTGTTTTAGTGACACTTCCGTCATGACCGTTTGCACGGAGATTATCTGAGACCATTGTAAGCTTTTAGCCTTACGTTGCTTTCTTTACAGCGTTTGTTCCCAAACGTTTTACAAAATGCGCTTTTACTCATTATGGAAACAGCAGATCCCGTATCTACTTGCATTTCGACCTGCTTGCCGTCAATCATTACGCTTCCACAGTAGGCGTTTGCCTTCAGTTTTGCTTTAACTTCGAACAATTCAGTTTCCTTAACGGCTTTCTCTACTGCTGTTACTGCTTTGATACTTGTTCTACACATTTTCGCAATATGGCCAGGTCTTGAGCATTTGAAACACTTTTTCTTTAAGTAAAGACACACCTTTGAATTGTGTGCGTTACTACACCTAGTACAAGCGACATTTGTCTTTGAAACCGGAAAGTTCTTTTTACCTTGTCGCTGTGTAGACCTTCGCTGCCAGTTGACGTCCTCTTGAACATTGGTGCTGGCTGAGGGTTCTTCTGTTCGTCGAACCTCCTTGCTTTGGCCTTGCACGGCCTCCATTCCCAAAACAGAGTTGAAGGCCCGGCCAAGGGTGAGATTGTTATCGCTTGTCGCCAGCAACTTGCAGCGGATTCCGTCATTCTGTAGTCCCATGATGGGACGGTCTCGAAGCACCTCCTCTAGAAACGTGCCGAAATCGCACGTAGCTGCCAGTTTCCTGATTTCCACGACAAAGTCACTGATTTTTTCACCATGACGTTGATCCCTTCGGTAGAATTTGTATCGTTCCACCACCGCCCGACGCCTGGGAGCGTAGTGGTTCAGGAGGATCTTGACGATGTCGTCGTGGGTGGCTTCCACAGGCTTTATCGGAAAGAGCAGATTCCGAAGCGTGATGAACGCCGCCTCCCCGATAAGCATGAGAAATACTTGCTGTTTGGTAACAAGGTCATTCTTGTTTGCAGTTGCGAAAGCTTCAAAGCGTTCCACGTACACTTCGAAGTTACTTTTCCCCGAGGAAAATTCCGGAAGGTGCCCCAAGGCGGAACTGTTCTGCATAGTCCTGTCTGAAATCTTGTCGTCCTCTTCCACGCTCATGGTTATTCAGAAACCAGGCTTTCTGAATCCCATCCTCGTCGCCACTGTTACGTTGAGGGGAAGTCGGGACAGACACCGGGGCAGCAGGGCTTACTGCTTTATTGCAACATGGTCCATCGTCAAGAACGAACAAGATGAAAGTGATCCCCACAGCAGCGGCGTTCCACTCTTCTAGCCAGAGCGCCATGCGATAACATATGGCGTGCATGCGTTGGGCGATATATCACAGAGAGATATGACAGTGCAAGTCACGGGCGCAACATTGTGCAAGTCGCCGACGCAAAAGCGACAAGATTCTCATTTACCGAGACTGCTGGCCGTAGGCAGCGAGAGACGAGCGCCTTGCGTTTCCTCACAGGTTGAGTACGCCTTGGTACGCACAAATCGATTGAATTATTGTGGCTCCTTCTCGAGTCTGTCGATCGATCAGCCTTCATGGAACATTGACAGGGTCCGAGCGAGAAAGATGAACCCAACGTTTTACCGCATAAATAAACTACGCTTAGCAGAAAGCAAAAACATTTCACAGCGATAATAATAAGATGCAGTACCAGCGCCGATGCTGGTATTGCATCTTTTGTGATCTCGCACAATATATAGCTTTCATAAAACAAAGACTACTGTTGAAGCTGGGGATTAATTGAAGAATACACGCGACTGATCGCCACATTGATGGACTAATGAGCTGATAAAGCCGTTAGCAGTAGGGGAACAACTCTACTCCAAAAAGCAACAGAAAGCGGCCTATTTCTGCCTGCGTGCCGGGGACGGGTCAGGATTAGAACATGTTGAAGTTTTTCATATTACAGCAGAGATTTCAAAGCACCGCATATCCGATAGACAAACTTGAGGATTCTGAAGACATAATGCCTTTTATATGAGGAAACGGATGTTATAAAATGTGTATGAAGACAATATATAACCGATTTTCAAAAAATGAATAGCACAAAAAAATTTCCATTTATTTATTTTCTAATTGAAAAGGAAAAAATTTCGAGTAAGCTCTTTACGGATTCAGGGGCACACCCTGGGTCGCGCTTCAAAGCAGTAATCAAGGATTCCCAGCATTGTTCCTGGACGAGACACGCTACTGGACAAAAATCAATGTAGCACTTGTGAAGCTTGTACGGTATTGATTTATATGATCTCAACAACAAGCGAAAGCTCCTTTCAGAAAAGCAAGTAATTGCATGTTGTTCAAGCACGAGATGCGATCAACATATTGACAATTTTAAACAAAAGTGACGCTTACTTTATTTGCCTGAGTAGTGGCATTTTTTTTTTGCTGTTCCAGAAAAACATGCTGCAATCTTAAGTACAAGCAAAGGTGCATCAGTTCAAATCCTTTCATGCTTATTAGAAAAAAACCAGAGGCTGAACACTTGGGATCAACATTTATCTTGAACTGTGGAACGCTTTCTCGTAAACCGTAGTTAAATACAATTCCTTTTTTATAAAATTGGAAGTACTGATCAATATTTGTTTCTTCACATGGCGATTAGGAAGCAGTTCTTTGTTAGTTGGATGACGCTATGAAGCCTAACGGTGCAATTCCTCAAAATGCACCAGGCGACTTTCGACGACTGTCCCTTCTGGAGAGACATTGCGGCCTCTAACGCTTTCCAGCACGACATCGTCGCAGCAAATGAACTGACTCATCTAGACATTGGTGTGCCACCGGAGTTTGGCGTGGACGAAAGTTTTGATTTGGTGAAAGTGCTGAGCAATTGCCTCTGCCCAAGTGCTGAGTGCCAATAGGCGTTCGTATTCTAAGAGGAACATCCGAGCTTCACAACGAGCAACAGTGCAGCACCGCGAATCAGGACTACCATGCACTTGTGCTCGTGTTTTGCAATTTAAAAGTGCAAAACATTGTTTCCAACATTTTATTGAATCCCTGCGTGATGAATGTATACATCACGATATTAATGATCTCTAGAGATGAGAAACAAAGGGGGGGGGGGGGGGGGGGCGAAGTACAAACACAAATCTCTAAACACAGCTAGGTGACCTGTGCGTGACTAAAAAACTCAGCCTGGTCATGGTATCGAACCAGGAACCTCTTCATTCTCAGAGGAGCACTCTACCAACTGAAGTAACCAGGAGTTAGACGTCAATAGAGCAAACGGATTTTGACAGCTGCCACCAGTCTGACATCAAAGAGAGTTAATGGTCTGAATTTATGGTTACGATGTTAATGCAATTAATGTAAAGGTGCCGCGAGCTGGGCAAGAATGATATCCAGGAACTTGATACCTGGACCAGGCGAGACGCCTCGAGACAGTGAAACTTATCAATCGCTGCGATTCGTTCTTGTAATATGCCCTCTTTCTGAGACTGTCCTTGCCACGGGATACAAAGGGGTTATTGTTTTATTTTCTTCAAACATCCCTCCTTGCGGGTGAGTCAATCGCACGAACAAAACAAGGGAATGGTTTCAGGTTGTGTATTATCAGCAAAGTTTTCAGCCAATAGGCTGAATGTGTTAAAAGCCATGAGCTCAAAAAGTGTTTCCATCCATCCTGTAAAATAAATTAGCAAATGACGGAAAAGACCAGATTTTAATCTTTCTTTTTGTATATGATGAATTTAAGGACCACACATTGACAGGACCTATATAGTGTCTGTTTAGTTTCAGGTGCTTACTGGAGATGAAATAAGGACAATCTCTCGTTACCAAAGCGCCATGTGCAAGCTTTTCTCCCTAACCTTTGAAACTGGCATTTTTAGACGTTTGTATTTCTCTCTAACCATATATGGTTTGGTACACACGAATTCAGGACCCGTAACGGTCTGATTTAAAAACATGATCAGTTACCTTGAGTTACTTTCGTCCATGTTTTGTTGTATGATGTGGTGTAATCATTCTTTCTATCGAAGTTTTTATTATTCAAAGCATAGTATAGATAGCTCAAGGCCGCACCTTACCTTGGAATCGGTGTAGGGATTAACAGATTTGAGATTCAGACAAAATGCTCTGCATTAATTAACACTCAATTATTACTCGACGTATTTATAATGTATAACAGGTGAAAACACATCACGTATTTGAGCGTAGACTTATTATGCAACGTGTCCACAATCTTCGAATATATTGTTGGCGAGATAAGATAAGGTTTGAGGGCACGTTGGAGTGTGTTAAGGGGACACCAAGTCGAAATTCTTGAGTTTATGTCAGGACAGCGTGGGCTCTCTTTATATATACTTTTTAATATTTTATTTTAAATTGTTTAGTGAACGAACCAGCCGTGGTTTGCTCGAACACAATAGCCAATTGAGCATACTGAGTCCTTTAGATCCTACGGCAATGCTTCAGCACCATCGAACGGTATCGTCCGCGTACTCGCGTAACTTTGCCATTTTTAAAATTAGAGTGATTCTCATCAAAATCACCACATGGTAAGTGTGCGCCTGTATATCGATATTTCCCTTAATAATAAAGAGCAATCCTCGAAGCACATTGCATAAATCAGAGGTTTTAAGCGGGGGTCCACAAACCCTTGGGAGTTCGCGAGGGCAATCTAGATGCCCGCGGAGCATTGCCTCGTCATTTGAAGCTCCTCAATAAAGTTTAGGCTTTATTCAAATTGAGAAGAAATTTTCTTATTTTTGGGAGGGCTTTCTTGTTTGTATCTCAGTTAAAGAAGTCTGCTTCACGCTAGCCCATAACTATATATTCATTTATTAAATCATTATCATAATTATCCTCTACCTTAACTTTCCCCTCTCCACGAACGGTGTCCTCCATTATCTCCGCCGATCCACAAAGGATCTGAGAGATATAAACGGTTGAGAACCTATGATTTCGGTACCGGACCGGTGCCCTGAATTCTTCAGGTTTTTGACTGAGTCTAATAGAGGATGACAAACGCGCCAGCTTAGATAACGTAGAATGTTTGGTAGACAAATCTTTTTAGGTTCTGCATAGGTTTATTTTCGGAAGAGATTGGGGTCAAGGTGCAAACTGGCTGGGCAGCTCTAGAATCAATTGCTTGGCTTTGCTTGTTTGTGGAGAATGGTGCGTTTTTTATTAGATCTTAAACCTGATTTAAATCGTTCAAAGAAATATTACTCGCTGGAAAATTCCACATGAAGACTTTCAGTTCTGGCTATGTCGATCACTATTATTCATTTTATTTGGAACTATTGCAGTCATTAAAAGATTAATGAGAGTGGTGATAAATGTAATTTCAACCCTCCTCTGTGTATGCGAAAAACTAATATTTGTAGTGTTTGCCCACCTTTTTTTCTTGTACTCTTGCCCAATTTTGATTCATCAGGTTTAATGATATTTTTTATGTGCAAGTTTTCCACCTGACCGGTATCACAGTTCCGAGTTAGGCATGTTTACACCTTTTGCAGGAATTCCTCTTTACCCGGTATTCTCACGAAGGAGAAGTCCGACAGCCATTGAAGCAAAACGAATGCTACGGACGTGGGGCCGACGCCACCCGAGGCACCAACGCAGCGCTCATGTACTGGAATCAACTGATAAAAGCTCGTGCTCTGTGCCGTTAGTGTGGATGCCTTATCTCCACCTGCACTGCGGAGGAATCGAATCACCACGTGCCTCCGAGAGAAGCATGGATAAACAAGAGCACGCTTCCCTAACTTCAATCTGGGTCTCGAAGCGAATACTCTGTTGTCACTTAAGCTGCGACTGCAGCCAAAGCTACAGGCTTAATCAAGCCCGAACTCCTGCCTTTGAGACGTGCATTTCTATCGGGAGTGCTCGTTCTGCGGAAGCACGCATCAAAGGAGCGACCTCGCGCTGTCGTGCTTGTGTCATTGGGTGCAGTTTCAACTTAAGGATGAAGCGAGTATAAATGAGGGTTTGCAGCAGTTCCGAGGATATAGTCCCAAAGCATGCTTCGTTCACCCTTAAGCTGAGACTAGATGTTCCGCCTTCAGCGCGAGCTGGCTGGCTTTGGCGGTGCTTTGGTGGCGCGTTCTTGAGCGTTCACGCTTCTATAAGCAAGGGCAGAAAGCTCGCGCCGAAG